ATAGGAGGACACTAAAAGGTAAAGGTAAAGGTTCCCTTCCTCGACAGCCAGTCGAATCCGACTCTAGGGTTGCGGTGCTCATCTCCGTTTCCAAGCCGAAGAGCCAGCGCTGTCCGAAGCCGTTTCCGTGGTCACGTGGCCGGCGTGACTAGACACCGAGGCGCACGGAACGCTGTTCCCTTCCCACCGAGGGGGTCCCTATTGATCTACTTGCCATGTCTTGCTTTCGAACTGCTAGGTTGGCAGGAGCTGGGACTAGAGACGGGAGCTCGCCCTGTCTTGCGGCACACCCGGGTCTCGAACTGCCGAACTACTGACCTTCCACAGCCTGCAGCCCAGCGCCTTAACCACTTGAGCCACCGCAGCTCCATAGGAGGACATTTAGAGGAGGACATTTAGCGGAGGAGGACATTTTAGGGGGGGGCGTGGGCGCGGGGCTCGACCTGCACCTGCGACCTGCACCGACAAGCAGACGCTCACTAAGGCTTCCCGGCGCCGGAATGTCGTGTCTCTCCCCCCCTTCGGGCAGTCCTGCCCCCTTTGAGTTTGGCTGCAGCGTTTGGCGAAGGGCCGGCTCACTCACTAGGCGAACTAGGCGATGGCCTAGAGTGGGCTAGCCCTTAGGGGCGCCAAACTGCACCTGGCCCCGTACTCTGGGAGTTTCTTATTTATGTTTTTCATTCTTCCTAAAATGCATTTATTTTTGAAAATTGGTGGGGGGGGGGGCGCCAGAGGGGATCCTCGCCTAGGGTGCAAAATAAGCTGGGGCCGGCCCTGGCGACGGCGTCCCTCTGCCGCTTCGTGCGACGGGGGCGTTTGGCGGGTCAGGGCAATTGAGCCTCAGGGAACCCAGAATCCCCTCCCCCAGTTCAGCGCTCGCGTTCTGATGCACCAGACGGGATGGGAGGAAATATGAAGGGAAGCGAGGGCCCCCCTGCCGCTTGCTCACTCCGAGTCAGAGTGAATACAATATCTGTTGCCCGCCCTAGCGGCCCGGCTTCCCCTGGGTGGAGGGCCATAACGGTCTCTTTGTCAGAACCCCTGCGTCTCCTGCAAAGATGGATTCCTGAAAAGTAGCGGTGCTTATCGCTGCTAAGAAACCGGCTGGACTGCTGGGTCATCCCCTTGGGAGCCCTGGGGATCCTGACACTTTGATGGTGGGTTGGATGATCTGTTACATTTAAATATAAATAAAAGCCATTGCTGCTTCCTTGGGCTTCTTAACACCAGTCCCGTTTCCTCAGACCCAGTTCAATACCAGAAATGAGCTAGGAAGAAAGTGGCTGGGAGTGACAAGCAACGCTCCCTCTAAGCTGTGGAGTCTTGTGAGCAAAAATTCTACTTTGCGAGCTCCTGGCATGAAAGGTGTGAGCGGGCGATTTGGCTCCTGCATGAATTAGTTATCTCTGGAGCCATCCTTCCTGAGCTGAGACAAAAATGTGTGAGACAGAGGCTAAAAAACTGTGAGCTAGCTCACACTAACTCAGCTTAGAGGGAACACTGGTGACAAGCAACGCTCCCTCTAAGCTGTGGAGTCTTGTGAGCAAAAATTCTACTTTGCGAGCTACCTGCGTTAAAGTTGTGAGCGAGTGATTTGGCTTGTGATTTGGCTCCTTTGCTCTGGAGCCATCCTTCTAAGACAAAATATGTGAGCCGGAGGCTAAAAAAGGGTGAGCTAGCTCACATGAACTCTACCTGAGCCACACAAACCTTTGGTTGTAAAAATTAACATCCTCCCCCTCTGCTGCTTCACTTCACTTCACATCTGGACATGTATGGCTGTCCCCATCTCATTTGACTTGGTTCTCCATCTGTCTATATGCCCACTCCTTTCTAAACTATGGTTTGCAACCACTTCAGATGCAGAGCCATCAAAAAGGTCAGTTTGAGTAGAAGGGAGGTGGCTAATTAAAATCTCCTTACGATCATCAGTGCACAGAAATCGGGGGACAGAGTGCCCCCGCAAACTCCTGCACAGATTCTACTATCCTCTCAATGTCCACCTTTGGAAACTTCAGAAGAGGCTCCAGAGCTACTGTTTCTTTCCACTCTTAACCAGGGGTCATTTCATAGAAAAAGAGGTGCAGGAGCTTATTTGCATAACTCATTTGCTTATGAAACACACCCTGACAAAGGGCAGGCATGAAAGCATGCCATGATCTTCAGGCAGGGAACCCAGGCATGTTTAGAATGCCTTTCTCTCCCTTCCCCATCTGGGGAAAGGAAAAAAAGGCATTTAAATCCCCCCCTTCCCTGAGTTTCTCTGCAAAAGTGGAGAGGCTCAGGGAAAGGGGGGGGCACGTCTGCCTGCCTCCCCTCCCCTTCTCCAGCCAGCTCACTGCAGGGAATGCAGGCAGGCCAGGAATGGTGGTAGGGTGTATGTGTGCCCTGGGCTCCTTACTGCCGGAGCGCGGCTCTGCCACGCTCCGGCAGGAAATGACCTGCTCTTAACAGTCAACTAGTCAGGCTCCCTCATATATCTGTCCCTCACCCAGTCCCCTGGTCACAATCTGAGCTTTTCCTTTGCTCAGGGAGCAGCCATTTCCACATGGATTACCAGCCCCGGGTTCGACTGTGTTTGGAAGTCAGTTTTAGTCTGCTTCCTCATTATATTCTGGGGCATTTGTGCGCCTCCTGATTATTCCCTGGCTTTTCATTGATCTTTCTAGAACACGGTTTACTTGGGAGTTTTATGAAAGCTTGCAGGAAGGTCTGGATGGTGGCCATTTCCCGACACTGTCCCAATTGCTTCCTCCCTGCCACCAGGGGGCTTTTTTAAAAAAAGGCAATCGGATATCATCATATAGATATTTTGTTGTTCAGTCGCACAGTCGAGTCCGACTCTTCGCGACCCCATGGATCATGTCCCGCCAGGCCCTCCTGTCTTCCGCTGTCCTCTGAAGTTGGCTCAATTTCATGTTCGTTGCATTGATGACACTGTCTAACCATCTCATCCTTTGCCGTCCCCGTCTTCTTTGACCTTCAATCTTTCCCAGCATCAGGGTCTTCTCCAGTGAGTGCTCCCTTCTCATTTGGTGGCCAAAGTATTTGAGCTTCAGTTTCATTATCTGGCCTTCCAGGGAACAGTCAGGGTTGATTTCTTTGAGGATTGACTGATTTGTTCTTCTTGCAGTCCAAGGGACTCTCAAGAGTCTTCTCCAGCACCATAGTTCAAAAGAATCTATTCTTCGGCGCTCGGCCTTCCTTATAGTCCAGCTCTCGCAGCCATACATGACTACTGGGAATACCATTGCTTTGACCATGCGGACTTTTGTTGGCAGGGTGATGTCTCTACTTTTTATCATGCTGTTTAGGTTCGCCATCGCTTTCCTCCCAAGGAGCAGGCGTCTTTTAATTTCATGGCTGCAGTCACAGTCTGCGGTGATCTGGGATCCCAGGAACGTGAAGTCTGTCACTACTTCCACGACTTCCCCTTCTATTTGCCAAGGAGTGATGGGGCCGGATGCCATGATCTTAGTTTTTTTGATGTTGAGCTTCAAGCCCACTTTTGCGCTCTCCTCTTTTACTCTGAGCAAGAGGCTCTTTAGATCCTTTTCACTTTCAGCCATTAGAGTGGTATCATCTGCATATCTGAGGTTGTTGATCTTTTCCCCAGCAATCTTAATTCCCGCTTGTGATTCATCCAGGCCAGCATTTCGCATGATGTACTCTGCATATATATTAAATAAGCAAGGTGACAATATACATCCTTGTCGTACTCCTTTTCCTATGCTGAACCAATCAGTTGTTCCGTATCCGGTTCTAACTGTCGCTTCTTGGCCCTTATACAGGTTTCTCAAGAGACATGTGAGGTGGTCTGGTACTCCCATCTCTTTAAGGACCTGCCATAGTTTGTTGTGATCCACACAGTCAAAAGCTTTAGCATAGTCAATGAAGCAGAAGTAGATATTTTTCTGGTACTCTCTTGCTTTCTCCATAATCCAGCGAATGTTGGCAATTTGATCTCTAGTTCCTCTACCTCTTCGAAACCCAGCTTGTACTTCTGGCAGTTCTCTATCCATGTACTGTTGAAGCCTAGCTTGTAGGATCTTGAGCATGACCTTGCTAGCGTGTGATATGAGTGCAATTGTGCGATAGTTTGAACATTCCTTGGCGTTGCCCTTCTTTGGGATTGGAATGTATACTGATCTTTTCCAATCCTGTGGCCACTGTTGCGTTTTCCAAATTTGCTGGCAAATGGAGTGCAGAACTTTAACAGCATCCTCTTCTAAGACTTTGAATAGCTCAGCTGGAATACCATCACCTCCACTAGCTTTGTTGTTACTAATGCTTTCTAAGGCCCATTTAACTTCACATTCCAGGATGTCTGGCTCGAGGTCAGTGATTATACCGTCGTGGTTGTCAAGGACATCGAGGTCTTTCTTGTATAGTTCTTCTGTGTATTCTTGCCATCTTTTGTTGTAATATAAATTACAACAATACATGTAATAGGTACACAGAAGATCTGCCAGAAGAAGGGGTTCAGTCAGGACTGACATATCAATTTTCTATGTCCATAAACTGTTTGCTTTTGTTTTGTTTTGCGTGGGAGAGATTTCCAAACAAGTCAGACTTCTACCTACAGCTGAAAGTGATACAATCCATGAAGAGCTTTAATGGTGGATTCCATTAAATATATACACTGGCCCTTTCAGGCTCAGTAGTTTACCTGTACACTCCTGTACATAGAACAGGCT